TATGATGAGTGGTGTATGATGAGTGGTGTATGATGAGTGGTGTATGATGAGTGGTGTATGGTGACTGGTGTATGATGAGTGGTGTATGATGAGTGGTGTATGATGAGTGGTGTATGAAAAGTGGTGTATGATGAGTGGTGTATGATGAGTGGTGTATGATGAGTGGTGTTTGGTGAGTGGTGTATGATGAGCGGTGGTGGAACAGCTGTTGAATGTCCGTAACACGGAAGTTTTGCACACTAAACTTCCTTTGATAAGACTATATATATATATATATGAGTGCAATACCTTTCTACCAGGATCATCCCCAGTGTACCCCGTCCGTTTGCGGTTTGAAGGCACGTGAACGCAGTGTACCCCCTCCGTCGCCTCGCGTGAACGCGATCTCGTGAACGCGAACGCGTCGGCAGCGCAGGGACCATCACGAAGGACTGGGAAGCGAAGGTCATTGATGAAAAAGTTCGAAGGGGCCCTGCAGCTCCTTGGCAGAGATACTGCCATATCTCAAACAGGGAGCGTTTTTCTTTTTGGGGTTCCAGCAAATGTCAAGATTTAATGGGTGTGGAGCATGCACTCAACTAGCTGGGATTGCTGGGTGTGTCTTGTTGGCTCATGTTTGCTGACTTGAATAAGTGGATGTTCCTGATGTTCCTTTGACTTGAGGACCACTATACTATGAGCACCTTTGGAACCCAGCTTTACCATGCTTGGCCTCCTCAGATCTCCAAATCTATTGCCAATCACCAGTCGCTCCCCTCCGACCTACCCCGTTCCACGGACCTTCTGACCGCTCGTTCCAGTCCGACCGATCGGACCGGTTCGGTGGGCGAGTGAGGTGCTGGTGCCCACGGAGCGAGGACGCTTGAGCATTCCGAAGCTCTGCGAAATTTGGGCGAAGGAAGGCGCCCGCTGGACTCACTCACTCCCTCCGCGGCTTCCCGTGTGCATGTGTGTTCTCGAAGGACATTGACATGTTTGTGTATTCTAAGAATCCGGGCCCTTCAGCCATGTGAAGGGTTTTGCATAGTGGTGGACTGGCACGGACGGAAGATGACGGAAGGGTGCAGACGGCGGGGTGCGGAAGAAGCATGCTAGCAGGTTGAGTTGTAGTTGGGGTGTGGACGGGTGGCCAGGAGTTGGTGTCTTACAGAGCCAGCTTCAAAAGGTGTGCATCATGTTTGACGTGTGTGTGTGTGTGTCAAGCCCTGTTTCTAAGGGTCCACCGGTTCTCTCGCAGGGGCGAAAAATGCTTCTTTGAAGCATTTTTCGCATCGCTTACGCGGTGATTTAAGTTCGTGTAGCAATTTAAGCTCAAGCTCATTTTGCCCACGTTCTTCCTTCATCGTTCTGATGTCGGGCGCACCTCCTCCTGACAAGAAGGACAAGCCAAACGGCCGCAAGGCTGGAGCGTTCGCTGCTCGTGTAGCGAAGGCAGCCAGCAGTGCTGATGGCAAGGCCCCGGCGGATGACGACGAAGCTAAGCTCATTGCTGATGGGGCCGAGAAATCTAAGCAGACTACTCAGCCCTTGAGCAAGAAGATCAAAACAGGGCCGAAAGGCAGTGGGGGCTTAACTGGTGGAGCCGAGTTCGGAGGCACACTGGTCACGTCTCCGGGCAAGTCGGTGGTTTGGATGAGTGCAGCATTTCTCATCGGCGTCATGTCATCGAGATTGATTGCAGCCTGTTCAAGCGCCAACAAGTATGACCGGGTCATGATTAACCCTCTGCTGATCCTGATCTTTGATCTTTGTGCATTCCATGCACTTATCAGCATGAATATGGAGAAGGATGACATCCGCAACATTCGAGGCTTGCACAACAGAGTTGTTGACTTGCCCTCTAGTGTTGGAGCTAAGCTCAAGGTCGCTGCAGGATATTTGAAACTTTCAAACATCAACTCCTTCGTGTCGAAGATGTGCGGTGGCATGGAGTTCACCGATTCTACGAAGGTTTTCGCTGCGAACTGCGGATTCCAAGAAGCTCCAGATGATACACAACCTGGAGCACCATTGGACCCTGCCAACATGGCGGGGCGTTGTTCACTCTTGGGGCGTTTTCGTCCTGAGATTCTCCGAGATCAAGTCCATCCTGCTGTGTTGGCCTTGATTCTGGCTGGATATGCAGAGAACCTGGCATCTGACGTGTCGCTCAATTCGGCACTGTCTCTTTGCTATGGAGTTGTTAATGATGGACTACGAAGGCTTTATTCTGGACTCCGAGAGTGTTATGAGATGACAATGACAAGTGGATCTGTCGCTGTGACGGAGGCTGCCTTGAACAATTTCAATGTCGAGACGGCTTTCAACGCTTTGACTTCGAACTCTGACACATTCAACTTTGGGCCAGTGACTTTCTCTACGATCAGGGATGCTGTGTACTCACGTCTCCAATCTGATCATGGGAATCATGGTGTGCGCTTCATTGACTATGAGCGCATTATGCCAACACTTGATCCTTCGTGCCTCATTGCAAGGGAGGCTGATCATCAGATGTATGCTATCGCAGGAGGCACTGAAATTCTATTGCGTGCTGCATCTGTGCTGCCAGCTCAAATGGCAGCCGTTTCCACTTTGGGAGCAAATTTGCGTGTACGTGGACTGGATTTGGGATTCATTGACACAAATGGATTGGATGCTACCTCTCCGATGCAGTCGGATGGATATCTTCAATTTGAGTCTCAGATTTCAGGCGGTGTGACCGCGAAGATTCGCGATTTTCACCGACGTGACGCCATTGACGTGGCAAAGCGTGTCAACAAGGAAGCCTACGAAAGTGGGACTATTGTGACATGATTGCAGCGTCCTTTGAAATGGAGGCTTGTCCTCTCCGAATTTTTGTGAAGTGCTGAACTCGTGTGCCCGAGTACAATGAGCGTCTGAGCAGAAGTTTATGCATTTTGAACTGTCCTCATTCTTGAGATGTTCGCATGCGTATTGGACTAATGCGGGTAACCTCATCCTGAAACTTCAGTGATGTTGGATGTTACACATGTCTCCGTGTGGGCATCGGTTCGACCTCCTACACAAGACGGGACACTACTGGCATTTCCCGTCCAACGAAGAGGATGCCAGTAGGTGCTGATGCAGTGGGGGACGCCCCACTGTGTACCTGTTCCAAACTGTTGACCACGCTGTGACCCTAATCTTCCTTGGTTTGCTTCCATGGTGGTTTACACGCTACTAAGGCCTCCTGGTATCACTACTAACATTAGTTTCTCAACGCAGAAAAAAGAGGCAGGGGCGCGTTCCGCAGATGAGTAAACAGTTTGTTAAACAATTTCAGTTGCGCCGACCTTTTCACCTTGCGGTTCCATCACCTTCCTTCTCAACGTGGGAACTGAGTTAACTGCAAACCAATGTCAGAGTGTGAGCCGCTCAGCCGTCCCACTTGCGTGCTGGGTGTGATCCCCTTCACCGGGGCGCTGAATTCACGCTGGAAATCATTTTCTCTACTTTTATAACTGAATTCACTTTCTCCACTTGTATAACTGAATTAACTGTTTCTCGAGCCGCCGGGCTATAAACGACGGAATACCATCAACTTACTTCACTTGCACCACCACGGAATACGGCTAAGTATTCACATGTCCTTGACATGCTGCTAAGTATTCACCTGTCCATGTCATGCTGCTAAGTATTCACAGGCCGGACGAATTAATCGTGCAGCTTCTTTTCCCCCTCCCTGCCCCTGGGCCTCCTTTGCTATCCCACCCGCTACTCGAGCAACAGAAGGAAATCGCACTCAACACACTTGTGTGTTGGTGCCTTTCCTTCTGTTTCTCCTAGCCTATTGCTAGCTACCCGGGCGGTTTAAGACAAATGTCCCGCTCGCGAACTACTTTCATTTAACTAAGTGGGCCTCGTAACTACCCCTATCTTTCTTTCTTGCCCTTTTAGTCTGCTTTTGTTTTGTTTGCTTTGTCTGTCTTTCTAAGGCTTTTTAGGTGGCTAATAGTTTTTCGCAGCGCCAATATTGGCGCTTTCTGTACAAAAGTTCTCCGGGGAGTCAGGACGCTACTAGAGGCCCCTGGCCTCGCTACTACTTTGTAAGCAAGGGAGAACGCGCCGAATACGGCTTTGTGTGTGTGTGTCAAGCCCTGTTTCTAAGGGTCCACCGGTTCTCTCGCAGGGGCGAAAAATGCTTCTTTGAAGCATTTTTCGCATCGCTTACGCGGTGATTTAAGTTCGTGTAGCAATTTAAGCTCAAGCTCATTTTGCCCACGTTCTTCCTTCATTGTTCTGATGTCGGGCGCGCCTCCTTCTGACAAGAAGGACATGCCAAACGGCCGCAAGGCTGGAGCGTTCGCTGCTCGTGTAGCGAAGGCAGCCAGCAGTGCTGATGGCAAGGCCCCGGCGGATGACGACGAAGCTAAGCTCATTGCTGATGGGGCCGAGAAATCTAAGCAGACTACTCAGCCCTTGAGCAAGAAGATCAAGACAGGGCCGAAAGGCAGTGGGGGCTTAACTGGTGGAGCCGAGTTTGGAGGCACACTGGTCACGTCTCCGGGCAAGTCGGTGGTTTGGATGAGTGCAGCATTTCTCATCGGCGTCATGTCATCGAGATTGATTGCAGCCTGTTCAAGCGCCAACAAGTATGACCGGGTCATGATTAACCCTCTGCTGATCCTGATCTTTGATCTTTGTGCATTCCAGACACTTATCAGCATGAATATGGAGAAGGATGACATCCGCAACATTCGAGGCTTGCACAACAGAGTTGTTGACTTGCCCTCTGGTGTTGGAGCTAAGCTCAAGGTCGCTGCAGGATATTTGAAACTTTCAAACATCAACTCCTTCGTGTCGAAGATGTGCGGTGGCATGGAGTTCACCGATTCTACGAAGGTTTTCGCTGCGAACTGCGGATTCCAAGAAGCTCCAGATGATACACAACCTGGAGCGCCATTGGACCCTGCCAACATGGCGGGGCGTTGTTCACTCTTGGATCCTGCTGTCTTGACCTTGATTCTGGCTGGATACGCAGAGAACCTGGCATCTGACGTGTCGCTCAATTCGGCACTGTCTCTTTGCTATGGAGTTGTTAACGATGGACTACGAAGGCTTTATTCTGGACTCCGAGAGTGTTATGAGATGACAATGACAAGTGGATCTGTCGCTGTGACGGAGGCTGCCTTGAACAATTTCAATGTCGAGACGGCTTTCAACGCTTTGATTTCGAACTCTGACACATTCAACTTGGGCCAGTGACTTTCTCTACGATCAGGGATGCTGTGTACTCACGTCTCCAATCTGATCATGGGAATCATGGTGTGCGCTTCATTGACTATGAGCGCATTATGCCAACACTTGATCCGTCGTGCCTCATTGCAAGGGAGGCTGATCATCAGATGTATGCTATCGCAGGAGGCACTGAAATTCTATTGCGTGCTGCATCTGTGCTGCCAGCTCAAATGGCAGCCGTTTCCACTTTGATGGGAGCAAATTTGCGCGTACGTGGACTGGATTTGGGATTCATTGACACAAATGGATTGGATGCTACCTCTCCGATGCAGTCGGATGGATATCTTCAATTTGAGTCTCAGATTTCAGGCGGTGTGACCGCGAAGATTCGCGATTTTCACCGACGTGACGCCATTGACGTGGCAAAGCGTGTCAACAAGGAAGCCTACGAAAGTGGGACTATTGTGACATGATTGCAGCGTCCTTTGAAATGGAGGCTTGTCCTCTCCGAATTTTTGTGAAGTGCTGAACTCGTGTGCCCGAGTAAAATGAGGGTCTGAGCAGAAGTTTATGCATTTTGAACTGTCCTCATTCTTGAGATGTTCGCATGCGTATTGGACTAATGCGGGTGACCTCATCCTGAAACTTCAGTGATGTTGGATGTTACACATGTCTGCGTGTGGGCATCGGTTCGACCTCCTACACAAGACGGGACACCACTGGC